TTTTTGTTTTGCTTTGTTTTTGATAAGGGCTGTGTTGTACATAGGAGTTCATGGCATATGGCATCAACCTCTAAAATTCTAATTAAGATGTGAAGAAAAAAGTGATGCTGAAACTGGCACTGGATTTAATTTCTTAAGAAACAAAAAAAATCACGATTAGACAACTGTAATATATTCCTATGCAAGTATGTGATACTGTGCAGTTCTTTTTATTTGCCTCTGACACTCTGTAGATGCCAACACTGACTGGGGGGTCATTTTATGTATTTTGAAGTTTTAATATTGTCAGACACAATGATTGCTACAGTTGGTATCTATAAAACATGTTAGATAGATTATAATGAATTGTAAAATTCAATGTGCTGGATGTTTTGATAAATGTCCATTTTACAATTACAAGTTTCTCAATGAACTGTCATGTGTTTGCTATACAGACAGTAACAAAGAAATAATTAACTAAATATAACCCATTCATGGAAGTAATTTCTGTTTTAATTAAAGTAATGCAATTAGCTGGCCTTCTTGCATCAAGATACATTTGGCATATTTTAGAGTTTAATTTTTGGTATCGAATTTAAAAAACGCTAATTGTGCCAGTTAATTAAACAGTGGCATTATGCAGTGTAAAGAAGATTAGGCAGCATCAGTTGTTTCTGTTTGTAATCTTTCTTCTGCAGGACCCAAGAATGAGTTGTTTCTCTTTTATGGAAAAGGACGCCCAGGAATTGTTAGAGGAATGGACCTGAATACCAAGATAGCTGATGAATACATGATCCCCATAGAAAATCTGGTAAATCCTCGTGCTTTAGATTTTCATGCAGAAACCAATTATATCTACTTTGCTGACACCACCAGTTTCCTAATTGGCCGGCAGAAAATAGATGGCACAGAGCGAGAAACCATCCTGAAAGATGGTAAGTGACAATGTGAAATATTAACATTAAACTACTCAGAGATAAAGCAATTTAAAAGGATAAGTCCAATGTCAAACTAACTTTAACCAGAACCCAAATTACTGTTGATTTTAAAATAGTTGTTAATTTTCTTCAGTAATATTATTTCTACATATGTTTCACATACCGACATATTAAAACCTTCATTATAAAATTGAACTTGCAATTGTCTACTATATTTTAAATATCACAGGAATTAAATTGAGCTATTTATCCACTTTCATGGAAAAATGTAGATTTACAATTATATGCTAACAGTCCTAAAGGGCAAAACATAAGATTTAACAGGACATTAGAGACTTTCGTACTATTTGGTTCTCACTAGAATATCGGTCATGTCACTCAAAGTGAATTAAAAATATCATTGTCTCTGTTGTCATCACAATTCTTGTATAGTGTTTCTTACTTTTTGTGTTATTAAAATGTAATTCTCTTGAGATATTAGTATCTGCAGAGAAACTTTAATTATGTATAACTATTTTTATGTCATATATATGTAAACATATATGCATGTACTTTACTAAAATCAGTAGATTTCATATATTACTTGGCTTGGGGAACAGCCAATCAAGTAACAAAATAATATAGCTTTAGTATAGGTACAAAATATATTTAATAATCAAGCAAAAAAGACTTTGAGTGGCTGCTAGTCACCATTAGCATGTTAACTAATGATTCTGGACCTCAGTTTCCTCATATATATATATATATATATATATAT